AGTCGGTACCCTCCACAAAAATGACGGAAAATTTTTGCTTTTTGCATTTTCGAGTCGTACGATCACTTTACAATGCACACACGAGTCATGAGTCACACGTGTCATGTTACTTCGAGTCGAGTCAACCACGAGTCAGTCAATCAGCGAGTCAAGTTTATACCTTGAGTCGTGTCAAGTCAATGAGTCAAGCAACGTTAAGCCTTAGGTCAACCCTAAGATGATTAAAGAGATTGGCAAAGTTCAATAGTCAAAATAAATACAGGTGCAGCAAAACAGGGAAGACCCTATCGCAGCGTTCGCGACAAACAGAGCAAGAAATAAGAACGGAAAATTGAATTTAAAGGAGAATCCGTGCTGGCGCCAGTCCCTAGGCGTTGGCGTCACTTTCTGTGATTGGCGGCAGACGCCAATTCAAGCGCCTGGCGCTAATGCCATAAGTTTGGCGCTGATTGATTTTCAGCGACGCCAAAGCAGCCAGCCACCTGTTGAGGTTGTGCTAGCCTTCTGCAATATATTTTTGGGTTCCTTGGTACGCGAGTTAGCCCCTATTAGTAGTATTGACATGATTGAGTAGTCGATTTGATTACAAAAGCAAATAAGTGATCGACCTGATGAAAGATCGTCTCACTTAGCTTAAGGCGCCTAAGAATTGGCTCATTAACAAAAAGCACCGACATACTGGTTCATTCGCAAAAGGACACCGACGTATAGGTTCAAAGCAACGAGAGCGCCGACGTATAGACATAGCGGAAGCAAAGTTCGAACGAGCTTTAAAGATCGACAAGCGTTGGTCTTCGTTAATTTTCTTTGGAATATTATCGCAACAACTGAGGATGACTTCAAGTAAAGTTATCTTCGACGGCATTCGCTAAGATTGCGGAAGTTGTCACCAAAGATTTGAGAAGATAGCACGAGATGGGCGGTCTTCGACGGCATTCGCTAAGATTGTGGAGGTTGTCACCCAAGATTTGAGAAGATAGCACGAGATGGGCGGTCTTCGACGACATTCGCTAAGATTGTGGAGGTTGTCACCCGAGATTTGAGAAGATAGCACGAGATGGGCAATCTTCGACGACTTTTGCTATGATTGGAAAGGTTGTCACTATGATTCAAGAAAAGGCTCAAGATGTAGCAACATTGATTGACGGCGTTCCCTAGATTGTGGAAGATCGTCAAAACAAACAGCAAGATGGCGTTCCCTAGATTGTGGAGGGTTGTCACAAAAAAACTGAGAATTATTTCAAGAGAAATAATTTTCGAAGATATTCCCTTGGACGTGGAATATTATCACAGCGGAGAAGGTAGTTTCAGGCGAAGCAATCTTCTAATTTGGAAGCAGTTACAAGGCATAGAGGTTTTCAAGCGGGATAGCATTCTCTAGCTTGCAGGAGGTCGTCAAAACAACAGCAGCGGCAACATGTGGTTACTTTCAGAGACGTGTGCTCGACGGTGCAAGATACGCGTTTCTTAACTCTTCTATCTGTTTAACTAACATTGTTTTGCAGGTATCAGAGTTATAAGATTGATTTAGGATCGCAGAACGTTCTGAATCATTCTCCGTCCCTATCGATACTTTGGCTTTCGTTTTCGAAACTTGCATTTCTCCAAACTCAGTCAAAGTGGGGGCTTCTGTAGACACCCATTTCCACAGAGGGACTGCAAGAATGTCAAAAACATGACCTGATAAGTCAATCATCGCATAGAGTATTAAAATGCACAAGAAATAGAATATGGTATAAGGGTGTAGACACCCATTTGTGTCTCCCCAAAACCAAACCCGATGATGAGTACCTTTCACGTCGAATCATAATCGAATGAAACGAAAGTGTGGAAAGGTCTAGTGTTGCGGAAAGTTTTATTTCTTTTCTTTTCTTTTCTCTTCTCTCTGTTTTTGAAAACTTTATTTTAAGAAAAAAGTCAATCTAGTTTGGTTGGTCCATGATATGGGTCCAATAGTGGTGTAGTTGGATGGGCTTGCAAAGACCTTTCCAACGATATATTATAAGCCCAATTCCGATGAATATTGAGGAAGTTATGACCAATTTACTAAATTGGGCCCGGTTTGAGCTTTAAGTACGACCCAATGATCTAGGGGAGGGCCTAATATGATTTATCATTCCTAATGTAATTAGGAATGGTTTTGGTCTTCTAGAACATTCTAAAAGGTCTTATCATTCTTATATCAATTAGGATTCTTTAGAGTTTTAATTAGATCAAATAGCATTTTCGACTGAAATTATATTATTTTATCTTCTAGTACGGGAATTTTATCAGAATTTCGAAAACGCGTTAAAAGCCGGTTTGGCGTCCAACCCCATGCCTTGGCGCCTAGAACCAGTTTGGCGCCAGACGCCAGCCACTGGTCCTGGCGCCAATGAGCCAGGCTGGCGCCAAGTTAGGTTTGCGATCTTTAGACTCTGTTTTGATAAATTATCTTTTTTGGCTGATTTTCTCTATAAATATCGTATCAAAAACTCCGTTTTCAGGGATCATCTACATCTATCATTCACCAATTCTCTTTATTCTTAAGCTTTTATCATCTCTCTTCATTCACAAAATTATTCATCAATTATTATTCATTAATTCTCTTCATTCATCATCATTCATTCGTCAACTTTCAATAACATTCATTCTTTAGAATTCTTTTCTAAACCTTGCTTTTTCATACAAAATTCCGCATTCACAAGATCCAGAAACACCTAGCCATATTCGAAGTTGCCTTCGCCCTAGACGTGAAAGGTTTTAATTTCTGAGGGTTTGGTCCCAAATCTCTATTTCAATTATTTAATTTAATTGTTTTGATTATTATTTTCTTTGAAGTTACTAACGTGTGTATTTTGTAATTAGAAAGAGGTACGAGGCATCCAAGTAAGTACTTTAATGGTTTAATTGATATTATGATGTAGATATCATGTTTAGATTGTTATTTTGATTCCTAGTATCATGTCTAGGGTATCTTTAATATCAAGTATGATTAAAAGTATGATGCTTCCTATGTTCTTCCTAACATTTACATTTATGATTATGATTGATTATTGATTATTATTATGTTGCTTGATACATTATTATCGTTGTTATTGCTTGATCACCTTTCTTGCATGTTTAAAGGGAATTGGTATTTGCAATCACGCTTGATAAGATAATTAATAATCTTGTTTAGGGTTAATTGTGATTATAATTTCAAGTGATCGCCAATAATAGTTTATTTGTGCATTAATATTCAACCAACATAGATTAAACAGGTTTAGGGTTAAATCCTATTGATTGTATGTTAGTCAGAAAGCGCACATGAATACGAGCAGAATAAAGTAGAGGCCTATTATTAGGGCAGGTTCAATCTCTTTTAGGTTGGATTTGTACCATCATCCCCGAACCCTTATTTGGTTCATGACCTTATGGAGTTGACGATCTCTTGGATCGTTGAGGGGTGTAACCTTCACCTCGTGAACGGTTTACAAGTTCCTTAAAAACTTGTTGGCGACTCTTTTGCTCTATCTTCTTCCCTTTTGGACGCCACCGTACTTTAGTGTATGATCACAGTGGGGTTCAAGCTAGTGGGATTTTAAAGGCTTGAAAATATTCCCTACAAAGGGGTATAAGAATGATAAAAAATCAAATTATACCAGAGTATAGTAAATCGTTAAGAGCATCAAAAGATGGATCCCATCTATAAACTCCTCAATATCATAGACTATCTAATAACTAGCACAACATCAAACCAATAACAAACATCTAGATTATATCCACAGATAGAGAATAAAATTCCAGTAAAGTTAGTTCCTTTCAAAAACCGAGCATCAACAATGTAACCTTTAAAGTCTTGAAAAGATAATACATGTTATAACTCAAACAAAGATGTGAGAGATATTTAGAGTTCTAGCGCAAGTCCTTTATAAAAAATATGATCCTGAAAAGTAAACGATGAATGTAATAAAGAAAAAAAATACATATTAGTAATTGCTTTTTAACTATTTGGTGCCATTAAATAATGGGCATTCATTGTTGTCAACTATTTCATCACTTAATTTGTTTACTTTTACCTCTAAAAAGTTGAAATATTCATCAATTAAAAAAATTGCCCATTAGAAAAAGGCTAAAAAGTGGTATCAGATTAAATGTAAAACTTATACAACTTGATCCATAATTTAACCGTTTAGATATCTTTTTTCACACAGTACCAAAACCTCACTAACAAAAGAATTCTTATATCCATTGTGAAAATAATTTTTTTTTTATGAGACATCAATATTAAGCCAATCTAATCCATAACTAAATAATCTACTTCACCAAGTTGCACTAGAAGTACAATTATAGCACATATCCTCCCCTTCCTCACTGCGCACTACATTGCTCAACAGTAACCTTTCTCACTCTCTCTCCATCAATTATTGAATGCTGAGATGCATGCAATTTCCTTGTTTTATTCCACTATAATACCCCTTGTTCCTTGAGTCCTTGTTCATCATGTATACATAGCAATCAAGCAAAACAATACTTTAAACATGACCCACTAACTTAGTTTAAACAACTTTTGAACAAAATTTGCCATTTGTTTCAAAACCATCCACTAATCTCTCATGATTCAAAAACTTAAAGTCCTTTATCATTGCCGATTGATTTCAAATTCTCCTCGGAAAAAATTAATGCAAAATCATATAAATATGTAGACTATTTGAATTTAGAGAACATAAAAAGATCTAAAATAAGAGTTTTACCTAAAATCTGCAAAATAGAACCTCAAAAACTTTTAACACAATCAAAATAAAGTGTTGCTTTATTCAAACATAAAATAAAAGAAGGCTAGTTTTCCAGAATATTAATTGAACAGTAGCAAAAAATCAAACATAATAAATATACATAAAGAAACCCTAAAATATCTGTTTCTCATGTATCTAACCCATTTCAAACCATAATTTCTTAAAATTATTGTGTAAAAAACTCTACAAACTATCTACAAGACTCAATTCAAAGAAAATTGAAGACAACAGGAAAGGAAGTACCTCAATTCTATCGGCAAAGAGAAGACGAAATTAAACACCATTGAAAGCCGACAAGTAGAGAAAATTAAGCAAGCAAAATTATTTATGAGCAGTGCAAGGGGAACGAATTGAAGATCTGTAATTAAAATCCATGATTTTCTGAATCACTTTGAAGAATTTAGTACGATGGAGGAGAGATGAATAGTTAGGGTTAAGATGTGAGAAGTGAAAGGGTTTTCAAGTTTTGTTTCTGTGGGCAGTTTTATGTTTTCCGAAATTTTGAAACTGTGGAATGAGCAAATTGCACTCACGAGCCTTGTACGCGTTGTTCTCGACGCTTATTTATGTCAAAAATAAATGTTGACGTCGAGAAGACATGCATATTGTATTTATCACCTAACGCTGATGCCTAAGCGACGAGGCTTAAGCGTCGAGAAGACACTCGTTTTGTAGTAGTGTGTATATTTCTGTTTCCAGTTCTTTATAATCAGATTCTTAGCCTTGGTGTCCAACGTCCAAACATTTTGGAAACGAAAAGAAGATAGATGATGTAAACTACAATTGTCCAAATATAAGCAAATAAGGCTATGATCCAAACAAGAGAGATATTCGTAAGATAAAGTTGCATACGAGAAGTTTTGTAACTATGAAGTAATAACTAAACTCAATCTAATCATTCGTAGACAAAATGATTATTTGTTTGTTTTTCTAAGAGAATACTGTTCCTCTAGGAGGAATATTATTTCTTTATGAAAGTGAGCAAAACGTTGTAATTTCAAACAACGATTTAAGGTAGGAAGGGTACCTCCTCTTTTATCAATCATACATAATAATTCATTAAAATCTATGATAATACACCAAGGGGAAAAGCAATTATGAACTAATGAGCTAAAATTGTTAAATTCCATTTTTTTCCCTTCTTGAGCAGGGGCGTAAAGACCAAAAAGAGAAAAGCATGCATTTGTCTTTTTATCTGTTACAAACAAACACTAATAGAAAATAACATTTTTGCACCGAGCAATGGCCATCAATTTTTAAAAACCGGTGGGGAAAAAAATGGGCGGAATTTAGTTTAATAGAAAGGGCATCGGTTTAAACCAAACCGGTGTCAAACTCCTTAAAGGGAACTGGTTCAAACCGATGGCATTAAAAAAACCGGCCTTTCATTTCCCCTTTGACCCTTTTCCCAAAGCATTCTTTTCCCTTTCTTTTTTCATTTTATTTCTCTCTCCTCATATGCCTCTCTTTCCTCTATCTCTCCTCAACCAAACCCTAAGCCCCTTTCTTCTCCCTCACCGTAGATCTGTTCATTCCCTTCTTCTCCCTCGCCATTCCCTTCCCTCTCCTCAACCCAAACCATAAGCCCATTTCTTCTCCCTCGCCATTCCCTTCCTCTCCCTCGCCGTTAATCAAACATTGTCGTCTTCGTCGGTCGTCCTCCCTCGCAAGCGTCGTCGTCCTCCTTTCAACCATGCAAGCATCAACGAATCACCGCTGCCCGCCGTCTATAATCGGAAATTTGAGGTTAGTGTTTCTGGGTTCTTTAGCTTTGCGTTTTGGTTCAATTATTCATGTTAAATTGCCTTTGTTTTGGTTGAGAGTTATGATTTCAAATCTCCAAAATTTTCTGGGTGTTTTTGAGTGTTTAGTGGGTTTTTTTAGGGTATTTTTAGCTGATAATATGAGTTTTTTTTTCTGGGTATTTTTCTAAATTTTTGCTTTATTTGTTTTTTTCTAGGTTCAAATTTTTTTCTGGGTTCAAATTTTTTTCTGAATTAAATTTGTGTTTTTGAAGTTTTATTTGGTGAATTAATCTCAGTGTTTTCTTACTATTTGATTAATTTGATAATACTTTACTCCATCTCAAAAAAAAATTTTGGTTGAGAATTATTATTTCAGATCTCAAATTTTTTTTTTTTGGTTGAGAGTTATAATTTCATATCTCGAATTTTTATTTTTGTTCTATATTGTATTTGTGTTTCGAAATGTTAGTTTATTGTGGGTTTTTGTTATTTTGGTGTTTTAATTGATGCAGATTGTATTTTACACTCCACATAGGTGAAGGATTCAAGATGTTGATTTTGGAATATAGATTTTGGTGTTTTAATTCGATGTTTAGTTTTTTTGATTTTTTTAAATAGTAAAATTACAATTTATTTGATGAATATGTGTGTGTGTGTGTGCGCGCGCGCGTGCGTGTGTGTGTATCATTATGGTATTTCGTTGTTTGCCAATGTTAAAGTGAAATAGTTGTAATTTTTTTTTTTTGGCATTTTTGGAGCCGGTTAACTGGTGCCAAAATCATGAATTATATTTTTTTAATGTGGGTGCCTAAGAAATTGCCACCGGTTTTAAACCGATGGCTTTTTTGGGATGAATTGACATCCCTTAAATACTCAACGATTCAAAACCGATGCCTTAGGGGGGGTTTTGAACCGATGCCAAATTGACTTTTTCTACTAGTGAAATGTGCAATTCTGTGTTGAAGAGATACTACCTGAACATCAATGTGAGATTGATTTCAACATATCCACATACCTTGCAATGGCCTATAGGATCTACAAATTTGACATTTTCATAGCCTAAAATTCTAGACAGTCGATTACTAGTAGAAGGAGCTAGAGACCATTGTTTCAATTACAAATAAAATGTCCGAATTTAATTTTTCAGCAAATAAATCAACTCACCGATGGTTTGGGACCTTTTAGCACCCTTTATATTCCAGCTTATGATTTTCATATTATCAATTTTATAAAAGAAGGCCATGTAGACAGACTAATTTTTCATGAAAAATAATTTACAGTAGCTTGTATGCAAAATATTCTCATTGGAATAATATTGGACCAATAATCGAACATCAAACTCACTAAGATTTTCAGGGAGAATAAGTATCCGAGCAAGCATCGAAAGATGTGAGCAAGCAATATTGCCATTCCCATTCCCAAACGAATTGAAATTAAGTAATACTCATTTTATGTCATGAAATTAGTAACATAAAATAAATTTGACAAAGGTATAAAAATAACCTTAAAACAAAATTGGTATGAGAGTTAATTAATTTCCAAATAGAAAGCAAAAATAACACAATGTTAAGATAAATAGGTACAATCATAAGATTTGACATCTTAGTTACCATGAACAAATATAATTAAGTATGCAATAAAATGCAAGAAGAATGTAAATTTATCATAAAAACAGAGACTAAGAAAAGAGCACCATAAATACATATGCTAGTTGTAGACATCTAGCTACTTTTGGCCTCCTTTCCTGACTGGAAATGCTATGACGATAGATAAAACCATCTTTGTGTTATGTTGGATCAACGTGAAGGATTCTTATAGACTACTGATTAAGTCACAAAAATACAAAAACAACTAGCCTGAACCAAAGTCCGATTAACTAAGCCCGATCAATAATTAAATTAGGCTTAAACCCGAAGTTAAAACCTAATTTTGACGAACTTAGGGGCGCCTAGGTTAAAAATTAAAGCTGCGGCAGGAAAATCCACGCGCATCTCAACGAGTCTAGCAGGTATGGCGCACGCAACTCACAAGGTTGCACGTGACACCTTGCGTAGCCTCCAGTGATGCACTCACGGAAGATTCAGAATTTCGTGAAAATACTAAATCAAATCTTACCATAATACCGCTCGCATGAAAATTAGTTGCGCTGCCCCTAGCAGCGCGCCCAATTCACTTGCGCGTGCCACATGTTGCGGCAGAATGCTCAAAACCCTAAACGTACCCATTCTCTATAAATAGGGGCTTAATAAGAAACTTAAACACAGAGAAATTAACCCGAAACACTGTCAGAAACTTTGTGAACTTGTGTATATTCAACCCTCTTGTCCTAAAAACTCACCCCTCTTATTAATTGTCTTTACATTGGAGGTTCTCGAGACGAAGAAGTCCACAAGTGTTCTAAACGAAGATCTAGCAAAGAAAAGTGGTTAGTTTCCCGAGCACTTAAATAAATCACCTTTCTTTTTATTGTTTGAATAACTTTAAATCAATTAATTAGTGTTGCTTGATAATTTTAAATAAACTTTTAATTAATTTATTTTGCATAGTATACTTGCGTTAATCAAATATTAGAATTGGAATAATTAATTGTTGTTTTATCACCTAATTCCTTTTCACGTATTTGAATTAAATAAACAATAACAACTTTGCAATGTAATTCCTACGTGATTAATGCATGTAAATAAAAATCAACTAACTTAATTTTAGGCATCACGTTACATATATTGTTTGGTGATGAAATTGTAAAAAAGGAAGAGCTGGTAAAGGCTGCACTAGGGCTAGAATAGCGATTCCCCCCCCCTAAAAGGTAATGTAATTTTAGTACCCGGCCTCACTCGCGAACTTATTTCTGGTACAAGTAGATTCCTGACTATTTTTCTATAAATAGGGTCCTAGACCCCCGTTTTGATTCATTCACAATCATCTAATTCTATTCTTTCTCTCTCTAAAAGCTAGAAGCTTTCTCTCTCTCTATTATTTTTCTAAACCTAGACACCCATAAGTCTATGATATTAACCTTTATGATTTAATATTTTTAATTATTTAAATTAATTAATTGTTCGAAAAGAGTAAAAAGGTAAATTTATGATTCGTGCCACATATCCCTTGTACTCGATCTACTTGGGAAAAAGGCATGAACGAGGTTTATGAGTTTTCCTAAAAACTCATTGGCGACTCCTTACTTGTTTCTTACAAAAAAGCGTAATGATAAGATCAATTCTATTTCAAGGTCCCCAAACAGTCAGGAATTCAAATCTTAATACACCTTAACAAGTGTAAAGTCCTAGACTTTTAAAGGGCCATTGGCATTTAAGGAGAAGGATCCCCTATGATGGGCACACCCTCCTTACACTAGTATAAAGTACAAAAAGAAACATAGATTAGAAAATAGCCAAAAAGATAATTAATAATGCAGTATGTCATATTTATAAACCATTGTTAATATGTACAAGATTTACACAAAAAAACTATCTAGATTATGATTTTCGGTTTCGGTGAGTCCGCTTACCGCGGAAAGAAACCCGAACCAAAATCAAAATCACAATAGTTATAACCATAAAGCATAATTAACTTAAACACAAGACTAATTAAGAGATTAATACCTTTGTAGCGTGCTTCGCTCACTTAATTGAGCTCTTACTTCGAAAGCCCTTAGCCCCACTCTTACGAAGACCTCCAACGAAGTCCACCCGTAACTCGAGCACCGAAAATGGTCTATTTCTTAGGAGTTAGCTAAGCCCGAGCTAAACCCAAGTAATTAATTATGTTCAAAGGTTTGCACAATGGTGATGCCTTTTTCAACACTTACTCAAGTGAATAATCCCAAGGCATGCCTTGGATATTTATAAGGAAAGCTTCCTTGTGAATTTCACTCATCTTTCAATTTGGGACTTTTTTACAAAACGATCCCGCATGGGAAGATTGGTGAATTCAATCCTTAGATAAATAAACCAGGAAATAACTAAGTAACAAGTGTCACATGTTTAATTAGT